TGGGCGTTCCAATTGCCTGCCAGTCATCAGATAAAATGGATTTCCAATTGAGTCAAGGCTCCCGAGCTGGATTCTGCAAAATGGGGAGCAGGCTGACTTCTTCTGCTCCCCTGCCTTTCCTCACTGCTTCTTGGTTATTTGTTTTTCTCTTTCTATCTCCTACGGTGATCAGTCTCTGTCCCACTTCTCTCTAAAGTTCTATCACTCAGTCTTGCTGATCTGCTGGCCAGAGCTGCATGAAATGAAAATGGGTTTATTGTTAAAGTCCAGACGCAAACTGATACAGTATTTGGAGGGCAGTATGATCTAACCTCAGCAACTTTCCACAGCCAGTTGCTACTTTAACTCGGGAGTGATATTCATTCTAGTGGGGAGTCCATTATCATGCCTGTAGGTGATTTACATGGAGCTACCTTAATGCAGGTTTCAGATACCAGATGAACCATCAGACCAGCTGTTGGTTTAGGAGAATTTAAGTCTACAGCAATATTTAAACTTTTATTTTCCTCCATAATTTGTTTTAATGGTACTGTCTGGTCAAGATGGCACTCTTTAAAATTGTTTAGGAAAAAAATAATATTAATAATTGCAGTTAAACATCCAGTGTGTGACTTTCTACAATAGAAACACGCCGATACAAAATGTCAAAGGTGCAAGCTAGATGTACTTCTGTATTGTATGATTAAAAAATAAATAAAATTCAACTTGAAAAAATAGCCATATATTTTTTTTACTTCATTACTAATAAAAAAAACATGAATATAATTGCCTGCTAATAGATTGCACTAAAACTTTCACATGATAAATTGACCAGTAGATATCATTCCAGATACTTATTTTTGGATTTGTTTCCAAGATTGAAAACCAAAATGTCGAAGACATTTAATGACAAGATAAGTTGGTAGTGAAATCAGTGTTTTCATTTAGGCACTTTAAACCATAACTGTTGTGAAATAGTGATGGTTGCAAAAGGACCAACGCAGGTGAGCAGGAACGGGAGGCAGACTGGTGGGCAAAACAACTGGAAGAGCTGCTGGTGAAGCAGAATGGAAGAAAAAGAGTATAAGCAGCTTTGGCGAAGCTGTCTAAATTCTCAGTGCCAAAAAGAAAATATGCATCAGAAATCACTCAGTGCATCAATTCTTGGCAGTCTGAGGTCTCCCAAAAAGCGCTGTTAAAAACTGCACTTCTTCTGAATAAATAATGCCACTTTTTAAACGAATCTTAATGTCCGTGGATGTCTTTAAGATCAGTGTCATCAATTCAATTCAGTTTATTTATAAAGCGCCAAATCACGACAAGAGTCATCTCAAGGCAATTCACAAAATAAACATTCCAGTACAGGTAAAAAGTTTCCTATATAAGGAACCCAGCAGCTTGCATTGAGTCGCTGACTAGTGTCAGAGTCTTTACAGCAATCCTCATACTAAGCAAGCATGTAGCGACAGTGGAGAGGAAAACTCCCTTTCAACAGGAAGAAACCTCCAGAGGATCCTGGCTCAGTATAAGCAGCCATCCACCACGACTCACTGTGGATGGAGAAGACAGAGCAGACACGCACACACACACACATCCCAACACCCATACACTCACACACACACGCAACATATTTACCAAGTAGTATTTCTATGGCTACATTGTAAATATTCTATTTAGTAAGAGATCAACTTTATTGTCTTTATCTTAGTGGATCTATAATTAATTCAGGAGAGAGAGAATGTTAAGCAGTGTGCAAGCCAATGGCCCCCTTCATGAGGCCACCACAGTTCAGCAGAACGCCACTGTGGCTTCTTCCGAGGAGAGAAACACTTAGAGAGAAACTAAAGTTAACAGCTGAAATAGCAGGAAATAACGTAATTATAGAGAAGTGGTAGAAGAAAGTAGTCGAGTGTGGAAAGTGGTCAGCATGTCTTCCAGCAGTCTAAGTCTACAGCAGCATAACTACAGAGATAACTGGATAACTTAGCCTTTTAGATGGCGGCATGTTGGAGGCAGGGTAAGGGAGAGCCGTCTTTACCGACTGTATTCTCCGCTGTACACTCCACCTCCCTCTACTCCCCCACTCATCCAGATCTGGGCTAACGTCCGATTTTAACCATAGGCCCTGTCAAATAAGAATGTTGTAAGACTAGTCTTAAAAGTAGACAAGGTGTCTGCCTCATGGACTAAAACTGGGAGCTGGTTCCACAATAGAGGAGCCTAATAGCTAAAAGATCTGCCTCCCATCCTATTGTTGGATATTCTACGAACCACCAGTAAACCTGCTGTCTGAAAGTGAAGTGCTCTGTGTATCTCTCACTGACAAAACATTTTGTATGGAGACACAATGGTGAAGAAGACTGAGCCAGTTTATTGTCCTTGTTGACTTTCCTGCTCCCAGAAATGTTACAGGACTCCTGTAGTGCAGGCAAGTTGGTGAAAGCCTCTGGTGCCCAGACTCTTGCTCCAGAATTTCAATATGGCAGTGCATGTAAATGGGATGTCTTAGCTTTTGTTTTCAACAACAGATGGCAAAGTCGCCTGGTTTATCTTTATGTGCATCGAGGCTATGTACATTATAGACCATCTCTATCTTTACCAGCTTCATATAAGTCTCTATGACCTCTTTTGTTTTCATTTAAAATAGAAAGTGACTTTACAAAACCTTCTGGGGATGATTAGATTTCATGATAAGGAGCTGCAAAGTAATTATCCATTAATAATTCATTATAAAGCAAAGTAAAAGGTAATGATTGAACCAAAAGGATAATGGTACCTCAATATATCACTTATTTAAATATTTATAAAAATGTCAAGCACATTGCTTTGTAGAACCAATTTTGCCTAAAATGCCTCCAACAGGTAAGGACCATGTGTTGCACCAATAACAAGTAGTGTGGTTCCTGTTTTAATCTCTCATACTGAATTAATTCAGGTGCACACAAACATCAATGATGCACAATTTAATAAAAACACATTTACACAATTAATATTTATGTCTTTGTGCGCACTTCACTCAAGGTAAAATACTCGGCTCGAAGGACAGTCTCGTGTTTGCCCTCTGAAGAACACATGAAATTAGAAATGTATGTGAGTTTATGTGTCATAATGCAGTGTAAAATATGCAAGAGGTTACACAAACATGGATCAAAGTACAAACATATAAATGATTAATATCAAACATACGTTTCTAGCACATTCATATTTGCTACAGGGATTTTTCTAAGGAAAGTGTTTCTGTGTGTTTTTTTATTTTAAGTAGCTGTAATATTTTTCTAATAACCAAAACTCAACTTCAAACACACAAGATTGACCAAAAGAAGTTCCCCTTGAGATTATCAGTGCATTAGTTGTTTGTCTTCAGAAAGAGGAGTAACGTGTTGCGCTTACTTTTGAATTATTACCAGAAAATTTCCATTTCATATCTTTGTGTTTGGTTTGTTCCGACAGGTTTTACTTTACAGAATTAGTGGTAGATTTATCACCGTTTTTATTGATTTTTCCTTGAAAGTTATTAGTTTCCTGCATCACCTTTGCATCGCATTCCGGCGAGAAAAACATCCTATACAAGCCAAGAACACAACATTCAGAAGTTTTGATTCCTGCGTTCCTGGACTGCGATCCTACGGGCTACAGTGTGTGGATATCCAAAGGTCAGGGGGTCTAAAAAGGTCGAGGAGAAAACCTTTACCAAGAAGGAACTGATGGCAAAAATCAAGTAGATTTGGCTAAAAATGAGTTCCATTGTGATTTGGAAAGTGTCAAAGCCTGAAATTTTGAAGATGTATTTTTAACGTGTATTCTGTGTATTCTCTATATTTTTTTTATCAACATTTCAAAAGATATCTGGAATTAGCAGTTTTCTGGGGATTTTTACTTAACCTTGACTTTTCCTCCATTTTCTGGCCCACGTTCGTCTTCATGTCCTTGCATGGATCATTTGAAGTGAGGCATAAATCTTCTGTTAGCCTCACAATTATTTGTATGTCTCTATTATTTTTTGTTTGTAGTTGCCAGCGGTAACTCTCCCCTACCTTAGCAATGCTGTGATATCTAGAAACCATCAGGTATTGTTTCTAATCAAAGCTCACACTTCCTTTGTATATTTATAGACATCAACACCCTCCTCATTATCTCTCTTTGTTTTGATCTTCTCACCAGTTATACGTTATTGTTTTACCTTCTATTTTAAGCTTTCTCCATAGTCGTCCGAAGTTGTTGCCATGGTGTCACAACTCTCACCAAATGGTTTAGTTATCTCCTCAGTCAGTTTGATTGTCCTCCGCCTTTGTGCTTGAGAGTGATTGACAATGTGATGGCTGTTCTAATTATTTATTGTTAACACTTTACAATGAAGGTCCCTTTATGAACAATATTTAGTGCATTATTAAGCATTAATAAACTATTAAATAAAATATTAATGACTGCTTAATAAAAAGTTAATACTGAGTAATGTATTACTAAGCTAATTACCCCCCCCCCCCCCCCCAGCCCTTAAGGACTCTCAATAGTTAACAATATGTGTAACGTTAATAAAGGGATCCTTTGTTTATGAATGTTGAGTAATACACTAAGTAACGTTAGTAAAGGAACCCTTGTTGTAAAGTGTTACCTGCTTTTATCCATTTTCCACAGATTGTAACTATTACGCTAAAGCGGTGGAGAGTTGAGTTGAGTTTTCTTAACCTAAATATACTGGTAATCATCATAACTTATTAGTTTGGAAAAGAAAGTTTTGTGTTGGTGCACACACCCCTGTTGTGTGATTTAATACAATGCAGTCTGAAAACCCTCTGGAGTAGTGATTTAACACAGGTCAATAGGTTTTCGTCTCTCCATTACTGAGATAATCCCTATTATTACCAAATCTGACCTTTCAGATGTTGCCTGTTAACAGTGAAAAAGTGTGGACAGAAAAGGCACAGTCCCTGCTCTTAAGAGCATCTCAAAGATCAGAATGTGTTGTGAGGTTGCAAATAGTCTAATTTTCTATTATTTTTCCTTGTTGTTTTTCCTTCTAGAACCTGTTGGTCAACCATGGATGAAGAGGGGGGTGCAATGGGAAAACCCTTGTGGGATGAAGATGTTTCTTTAGACAGTAAAAGTAGCGTGTGCTATGTCCTTTTCTTGAATACTGGGAGAGTTGGTTTGCTGTTAGCATGCCTTGTTTTTTTTTAATGACATAAATAACATTATGCATATATCTGCAGTGTTTTGTTAAAGCTATGTTTTGCGGGGAAGCTATTTAAAAAAAGGTGCGAACATCTGGTTCATGCTCTGAGGCATTGTTATTCAGTCTCATAAATCTGAAACGTGGAGATGCGTTCAAGGACGCTCATCTCTCTGCCAAATGTAAGACTCAGTTCACGTCCAAACCCCTGCTGCTTTTGAGGAATAAAACGAAGGAAACAAAATTGTGCTAAAAGAGTTGTACTGGAACCATTTTTTTGATTGCTTACTAAAAGAGAAACAAAACAATTTCTATTTATTTTGAGTTTTATAGTTTTGTATTATTTCACTTGCATAAGAACAAGCTCAGGTAATCCTGGCTGAGACTCTCAGTTGTCAAACCTGTGACTGTATGATTTTAATAAACCATTCATATTCAATGCCACTGTTGTGTTCTTAGTTCTTCACAAATAACAACTAAATTGTTTGCAATGTCTCTTTATCTCATTCTAATAAGTCACATGTTTGAGACATAGGAGAATGAAATGTGCTCCTTGGGTCAGCCTGCTAAACCTAAAGTCATTTATAAACTTGCCAAAGCAACACTAATGAGGTTTAACACTTTTAAGCTATTCCTTTAAAAGTGGGTTTCAGTGATTTTTTAGGTATAAACTTTACCAACTTCATCTTGGACAGCACTCTACTGACCCGAAACCACACTTAAAGTGACAGTGTGTGTGTTTTTCCTAGCGATAGGGGGCAATAGTACCTAAATCATTGCATGCAAGCGGTATTTTTGTGTTGCAGTAAGAGTTTACCAACGGTTGCCCATTAGGGTCAAAAAGCCCCGGGAATGCTAACACCAGCACAATGACATGCACATCAGACTCTCTTTCGTCACAGGCACTGAGTGAAGAGGTAAACACGTGAAACAACAACGTTTATGAATAGAGACATTTTGTAACCGTTTCTTACAAATCAGTAAATGTGTTTTGTCCTCATGGGCTCCGTAGAAGGAAACGTGGCGTCTAAAATGGCGTCGCCCAGAGACATACCCACTTCCATGTTTTTTAGACCAGATTTTTATGGTTATATGTTACGAAGTCGCCAATAGTTTTCTGGGCATCATTTAATAAGTTTTAAACAACATTTTGGTTGATATTTACAGAGACAGTAAATATCAACAGTAAAGACTACACATTGTCACCTTTTACACTCAATTCAATTCAAATCAAGTTTATTTATATAGCGACAAATCACGACAAGAGTCATCTCAAGGCACTTCACATAGTAAACATTCCATTACAGGTCAACTCAGTTTTGTGGGACGGGTGGAGCTCTACCTGCTTTATGGCTCTTAGCTGTTTGTGCCAATAGCTAAAATAAAGGCTAGCAGTTAGCTTTTTTTTTTTATATTATTATTATCTTTATTTCATTCAAAAAAAATAACACATAATAAAAATAACACAACAGATACTAAACAATATTCATGAAAACACAATATATATTTGAATTTCAGTTCGCCGACCAGTAATTTAAAGCACGAAGAAGAAGAAAAAAAGTAGTTTGCATTTTTTTAGCATCATGTTGTAGTCTGGAAGTAAAAGTAAGAGAGAAATGTCATTGGAGGTGAAACAAAGAGCATGTGGATCTTTTTACTTCGTGGCTTATTTAGTATTAGTTGGCTCATGTTAGTGTTAGCGCGTTGTTAGCATTAGCTGCAGCAGGGTTGTTTACAACAGTTGTAATTCCGCTTTCATCCAGTTGGACAGAGAATCAAGAAACTGCTTTGTGTGGATTTAAATCAGGCTGACAAGCTACAAAGGAGAGCTTAAGGACATGGCTTTAAGGAATGCTTAACCTTCTGCTTGTGGGTAGAGGGGTGGCTAATTCACAATTTGGATTACATTCATCATTATGTTCCTTGCACTTGTTTTTTATTTGGTCAGTTTTCAGCATTTTAACCAAATAGCAATATTTGGTTCTTTTTTAACACAAGAAAAGGCTATTTTACCTTGTTTTGCTGACAATTTTGACCGGTGGTCTTCTTCAGAGCTAGCCACTAATTGTGGTGTCACTTCCTTCTCCGTTTACAAATTAAAAAAAGAACCAAATAATGCAATCAGAAGAAACACGCAGGATGAATACATAAAAGAAGATTTAACCAGATAGATAAATGTTGTGTTTGTCATCATGGGAGATAAACCAGAGGAGCAGAAGATCATCCTGATGAAGTAGCTGCAAATATCTTTCCTGCACTGGTTCCGATTGCGTTCGCACACAGAGATGATTCATTGGAAGTCGTGCATGTAGTCCAGGGTCAGTGATAGACGGATCTTTAACTGTTTATTGAGTTTTGCAGGAAAGAAATTGAAAGATTACTGTAAATGTGTTTTTTCATTCCCGAAACATCGATTACGAAGCTTTGTTGTAACAACACAGGTAATGCCACGTTCATATTTTTCTTAAGGAAATTTGCAAAATTCTTGCTATTTTAGAAAACAAATTGTGATATTAACCCCCAGAAACCCAAATTTAGAAAACAACTGCAAAATCTTTTTTAACCTTTCACATGTTGTTCTAGGAGGCCAGATAAACGGGCCTATTTACACATTTTAACAGCCAATAGTGTTGCAGAACTGAACAATAGGACCTATTAGCAATGTAAATGTGGTGTTAAAAAGAAAAAAATGGGGAAGGTTTTTTTTTTTTTGTAGACTTAAATCTGATGTAATATTACAACCGTGGGTCTCTGGGGGTTAAAGAAAAAAGCTCTGTGGACTTCAGCACATTGATTTAACATTGTAATATGTTATTGTTTGTGAGATAAAGAGAAGAGTTTTTACAGAAATTGTTTGTTAGGTTCTGTTATTTTCCAAGTCTAAAAGCTCATGTGGAAGTGAAAATGGGTTAGAAAATAAAACAAGTTTCAGGGGGGAAAAATCTACATTTCTGTGAAATAATCTTAAATTTACAAAAAAAGAAGTTCATCATATAACGCCCGCGAACCAAAGAAGTTAACATAAACCTGAACTCATAGTGCAGCCATGCAAAAAGCTGTCATGACGCTGGTTTGAAATGAAAAACTCCATTTGAAAAGCAGCCGAGTCCTCGACCTTAGCCGGCACAAAATAAAATGTGATAATTGGAGTGAACTTGTCCTTCAGTCTCAGTGGATTTTAATGAAAAGAAAATGTTTAAATACAGTCATTCAGATGTTTCCACTGAAGGAGAGCTTTGATGAAAGAACGTTATGGACTGATTAGTGGCTGCTGTGTGACTCATGGAGCTGGAGATGTGTCCACTTTGAGCAAAAATAAGATGCACCCAGGTGTGCAATAATGTGTTTGATTGGCTTAACGCAGCAAGTTGGGCTGGAGTGCCTACATTTTCTCCGCTCAAGGTGATTTTTATTTTAAGTTGTAGCTTTAAAATCCACAGCGAGGTTGTGGTAATTGACTTGGAGCAGAGAGCTGGGCTGGCAGTCGTCTGCTGTGTGCACCTCACACACACACACACACACACACACACACACGCGCACGCGCGCACACACACACACACACACACACGTTGATTTGGGCACTTGCGTCCAATGTTAATAAAAGAAACGCCACAAAAGGTGGAGGATGCAGAGAGGGGGATGCGGTCACGCAGATGTTGCTACGGTAACAGCAGTGAGCACAGGCTGGGAGCTGCGAGGCAGCCGGTTTGAAAAGAAGAGCGTGGAAGACGACAGTCAACGCATTCAAATGCGTCCTCGCTCTCTCCCTGTTGATCCCATGCCATACCCAATTACCACTGCAGCTCGGCGAAGGAGGGGGCACCAGGCGAGGGGATCCAGGAGGAGGCCCGGGGTTGGGGCTGCGCGGAGAATACAGACAAGAAAGAGGAGCATTCAGGTGTCGGCTTGAACCTTTCAGAGAGTTGCATGTGGGTTAACACCCACGCCTGTCATTACTTGTTTAACTAGGCGAAGGTTGCAGCAAAAATCTCTTATCTGCAGCTACAAGAGAATCTTGGTGAGGCAGCTGAAGGTTTCAAACTCTGATAGACAGGCAGAGCTCTGTTTTTAGTTGTTAAATGAGCTTGTTGTCATTTAAGTTGTTAATGTAAACAACGACCCCCCCAAAAGACCAAATTGTTTAAATTAGAAGTTGACCGATATTGGCTTTTCCTTTGCCAAAACTGATGCAGAAATGTAAAGGTCATGGACAAATACAAAATGTTAAATATTGGGCCGATATATCGCCCGACTGATATGGCGGTCTACCCTAGTCTAAATTAGAGATGTTCAATATCTGTTGAAATTGGCATTGAAATGTAAAATTGGAATTGATCTTTAAGTTTTTACACTTTTGGTAACACGCTTACACACCAAGCACACGTATACATCTCATGCTTCAGCTATTCTCTGACTCAAAATGTCAAAATATGACAGATCTGTGGTAAAGTAAAACTGTATGTATATACATATGTGTATGTATGTAATAATTATATATGTGTGTGTGTGTATATATATATATATATATATATATATATATATATATATATACATATATATATATATATATATATATATATATATGTGTGTGTGTGTGTGTGTGTGTGTGTGTGTGTGTGTGTGTTTGTGTATATATATATATATATATATATATATATATATATATATATATATATATATATATATATATATATATATATATATATATATGTGTGTGTGTGTGTGTGTGTGTGTATTTAATTTATTTTTTTTGTTTGTTTTCGTCCCAACTGGCCTAACCTAAATTTGCATGGATATTTTTTAAGTATACATTTGCATGATATGTGATGTTAGTAACCTAAAGTGATTTTGTTTTTCTTTATTTTTACATGAGGTAGGAGTTTTTTGGTACCTGTTTAAATTGGTGTCAGCAAGTAGAACTATGTCGATGTATCGGGTCAACTGGAGATTTATTTAGCAAATGTGGTCAAAATTCAATAAGTCAACCAATTTAAAGTGTATTTAAATAATAATAAAAATATTTTCTAATTTTTCTCTTTTATTAAACTAATCAGGAGTTCAAATTATATCCATAACGGTACTTTCTGGTCTTCGTTTCAGTGTCCATTTTTTTCTCTTTGCCCTCGCTGATTCTGTGGTGGTTAAGCAGGAGTCTTTTGGGCTTTTCCCCCCCTCACCTATGAAAGCTTATGCTTTATAACACCTCTCCCTTGGGGCTGTGGCTCATTGTGTTACTTATTGCTTTTTATCCCACAAAAATTAACTTTTTGTGCAAATGAAGTCCCATTTTTAATAAAATCTGGTGTCTGGATGGTTCACACTTTACCTCACAGTGATCTTGCAGGTTTAGGGAAGAAATTGTATTTTCCTTTAGATTTAAAACCAACAGGACATTTTTAATGTCATCTCTCAATAAAAATGACTGTGCCCTAAAAATGT